AATCAAGAAAGGACTTGTATCGCTGAAGTTCCTTGGAAAGAATTTATACCAGAAATTAACAAACAAGCAGATATGTAAAAGTATTATACATCATAAAGTTTGTAGAGAATTAAAGGGAGAAATCCTGTACACCTATCTTCACTGATCTAATTGCAAATGGCTTTGTTCACATTTAAACCACCATTTAATACACTTATAAAACCTCAGAGAGATGACTCTTTTTTCCTTTAAGAAATGCATGATTTTTTCTGAGTTTCTTTCCTTAGATATGGTCAATATGGAAAACCAGAAGTTATCTCCAAGTAACCTGGTTTTGTATTTTGGACCAGTATTTTATAAACACATCCAACTGCTTCACAACTTGATCAGTAGTGATGTCTTCATATGATAGGGTGGATATGGAATTATTTTCTTCATATCATTCACTAGTTTCTTCAGCAGGTGGGTTCCTAGACTATCTAAAGTGACATACAATACTTTTATTGACCCTGTTCCAAAACTGTTGCCAACAGGGCACTTGCAATGATATTAAATCAGTCTCAATTGAAAAAGGGTTCAGCCTTTGAGACAGACTAACTAGTTTAATTTCAAATATACTTCTAAATTCTAATGTACATAACCTATGCTTACTCATAACAATTAGTAGAAAGTAGTAATGAAATATATCATTGCAAATGCACAAGTTAAAGACAAACAAATATGATGTACTACAACTCCCAAGAGTCATTACTCATCACATGGAGATGAGCTAAAGGAACATACAAATTTGTCACTCCATTTTAGGGAAAATGCAAAAAGTTTAACAAATAAAATGTACAACAGGATATTCAGCATTTTTCATATCATTATTCAAGACTTTTATCATTTTATGACATTATGTAGATTTAGCTTGAAGTATCATTAGTCAAGTGTTCAAATACGTGTAGTTTTAAATTAAAACATTTAAAAATCATATCTGAGGTCTTCAAACGACTTTCAAAAGCATTTCAGACACAAAATCAAGTTTCTGGACTAAAACAATTTCAAATGCAAACCATGACTTTAAGCAACTTCATAATTAAATTGAACTTAAAAAATCTCTTTCAACCACTCCTACTCAGTTTTTCTTCATTAGCACAAAACTGATTTACCTTTTCAACACGTATAAACACATTCAGCTTTCATTTGAGCCCCAACTGAACTGTTTTCCTATTACAAGCCAATATACTTCATGTTCTGTCACCCCCTTCTGAATCAAGCCTAGAGTTCTGGAATGTAGGCTAAAAACTGCTTAATGTTTTAACAAAGATAAGCCCTTAGAAAATAATATTCAGTTTGTACTGAATGGTAAAATTGCTAAGTGTGAAACCGTGGAACTTATTGTCAATTAAAAAGCGTTCTCATTTTAATAAATACATGAACTACAAGTATAGCATCATTTATCATTACAAAATGTTTAGTGAGAATGTAAAGGGAAATTGTCCACTATGGGGATTCATAGGTAAAATGAGCTATCTTAGGCCTAAATTAATCCACACTGCACTTTCAAAAACTTGAGACGGTAAATTTGAGGAAACCAATTTCAGATACAAAAAATTAAATACAACTTCAGCTAACGTATTGTTACCTTTATAATAGAGTAGTTAGCCTACGGAATAATATGTCTGACTTCTGATGAGATAAAAGTTGCAACATTAAATGAAGCTAAGATGATACTGGATGAGAAAAGATAGTTTGTAGAAAGTTTTGGGTAGAAAATAGTATAGTTTAAACAGGTCAAATGGCCCATTATTATCCCTTGGAAATTAAATGAGTTTTTTATATTTATATGCATTTTTTGTTATTCAATTAAATTTTGTATGTACAGATTAGGCCCAGGGCTGTTACTTGATTTTACAGCATGAGACTTAACTGAGCTGTAAAGGTAGCTTTAAACTAGGTTTAGACCACTATGGTGAGGACTAGGATAAACTTGATATGGAAAAAATCAAATGTAGATTAAATTGTTACTATACTAATGCAAGAAATATTAAAAATAAAATATATTACTTTAGAGCACTTTTCAGAATAGAGGATGTTGATATTGTGTGGATATCTGAGACTTGGTTAAATGTAGACAATTTTGATTACTTTTTTTTTTAAATACAGGGTTATGGGTTTTTCAATAGGGATAGAGTATTAAAAAAGGGGGAGAGTGGCTTTAAATGTAAAATGTGAGTTGTATCTTAGTGAAGTTGAGGATATTAAAGAGAACAGCAAGGAGGTTGAATCTATTTTGGTTTCTGTTAATGGACACAGGATTAGCAGGCTTTTGGTTGGAATTTGTTATAGACCACCAGATGAGAGTGATGAAATTACTGAGAAACTTCACAGTGAGATAAATATTACAGCTGTTAACAAGGTTATAATTATGGAGGATTTTAATTTGAGGCATACAGACTGGGAGATTTTATCATTGAACTGTGAGATTAGTTTTTGAAACAATTCAGGGTGGTTTTCTTCATTAATTGTTAAGGGAATTTACTAGAGAAAATTATATTTTATATTTATTGTTAACTTCTAATATGGAAAGAGTTGAGAATGGGGAACATCTAGATGAAAGTGATCACTGTTCAATTAGGTTTGATATTTTACTGCATATGTAGCTCAAGAATAACTATATTTTGGTTATAAATTTTAAGAAAAATTTTGAAGGGATGTACACTAAACATCTATTGTAAATTGAGCTGCTAAATTAAATGAAGACAGTGTTCAGAAGTGAAGAAGTTTTCAAACAAATTATTAAATATACAAAATAAACATGTTACTTATAGAAGAAAAAGTAGCTGCAAGTAAAAGACCAGGTTGGTTCACTAAAAGTATAAAGGATAGAATTGGAGAAATGTTTTACAAATTTAAGAAATTTGAATTGACTGTTATGATGAGGTACTTAGAGGATTACAGAAGATCTAAACAGGAAATCAGGCAATTGAAAGGGGAATATGAAGAAAAAGGTTGGCTGAAAATGTAAAATATAACATTACAGCTTTCTATAAATAAATACATCAAAGGTAAGCAAATTGTAAGGATCAGAGAAGGGCTTTTGAGGAATGATAATAAAAGGCTTATTTCTGATGATTATGAGACAGTTTATTTACTGATTTCTACTTTTCCACCAGTTTTTTACTAATGAAAATTTAAGCAGTATTCCTGAATAGTTGTCAGAGGGAAACATTATTGGTGAACAAGGTTTTCACTGAATTTAATTTTAATAGCTACACAGCTTTGATTTTGCTGATAATGTTAGAAACTTGAGGTTTTATAACGATGTCTATTTAGCCAGTCTAGATATTACATTTACCCTAGATGAGATTATTAACCTTCATGTTAATCTTGTTTTCAAAGACAATAAACTTAATATACAATTTTTCGGACAACTGATGGAATTTACCATGAAAAAGGATGGAACAGCTGAGATGGACAAATAGGTTCCATGTTGTCCCAAAATGTTATTTTATGTTATATGTTATGTTAATATCCATGCGAAAACTTAATTCCTTCCTAAGTAACTTTATTTATTCTACCATCAATAAAACTGCTCAATAACTACCTCTTTCTAGTTCACCAAACTATGACATTCCAAAGCTATAAGTAACAATCTCTCTACCATATACAGGTGTACACTAATAAATCTTTAAGAAATTAAACACTATAATCAACAGATTCTATCTAAAAGTTCACATTCAATGTATGTTTAGACCTGTATTAAGAATTCAAAAAATTTTCAAGTCTAAGTATCATATCCAGTTCTCTCAAAACTCATGTATCGTTTATGAATTCTGCTGCCCAATGAGTGAGATTGCCTACATTAGCAATCCTAGGTACATGGGCAGCTCAAGCATTGTTCAACATGTACTAGGCGAATGTCTTAAGGTTCCATCCCAGAAAATATTGAAAATAATTGGTAACACTGAAAATAAGGCTATGCTACAGATGGAGACACTTCTGATTCTTCAAAAGCTGAGATTAAATAATAATAGATAATAAGATAACAGAAGTTTGATGTTTTGAGAAGACTGTGTTATTTCTTTAACAAGATAATTGACTTATGGGATGATTTGTCATTAGTTTAGTTTAAATTTTTACTTTCTCTCAAGGGTTGGTATATAAAGAAAAGCCTTGAAGGACCAAGTAGTCCTTTGTTATCCATGTTACACAGAAAATCATGGCTTGTGTTTTGCCATTACAATGAATACCACATATTAACCAAGATCTACAGGAAAGTCAAATGATGACTAATTCAGTCTAGAATTCGTTACAACATCGTATGTATTTAAAGTTATCTATTTATGCCTGGTGTATCAATAATAGAGATAGTATAGTACATGTTGTATGATAGACTTTTGGCTTACCCATATTAGATCATTTTGTAATGTACTTATCCATATTACATCTCATTCTCTGACATACTCATTATTTGAATAGATTTTCTGGAGAGATATGAAAGGTGTGGATCTTATTAATTATAGCTTTAAATTGTTTTGTAATTATTAATTGTCACAAAATTTTGTATTGATTAATTGGAAAAGTGAATTAAATGACACAACATGAATTTTAATAACAACTATTCCACATAAATACAGCAGCAGAATAATCAAATGAAATATCTCAGGTTATGTATTCTATAATTTAAGAGCTCCATTCGATATGAAAAAGTAGTAACCAAATCATGTATCTCAGGGCAAGTTTGTTATTATTAAAAGTGTTATTCGTACTAGTCTGTATGTTTGTGTTATAACACCCTAAGCCTCTCCTGTTAATTAGATTTAGAATAAAGAGTCTTCTGCCATGGAGACTTAATCCAACTTTAAAATAGCTTTTGTCCTTATATTTCATCATATTTGACATAATTTCACATTGCATATCTTTGTCTCTTGTAAATTTGTCACATATATTTAATGATATCCAATTAAAATTCAGTTAACTTACTAGAATTAGACAACTTCAGTATTAACAGAGTTCATTACAGCTCCTGATACTGTATAAGTTATTACCTGGTGATAAATATTTGGGTCCATGATTAATGTTTTCTGGATCTTCATCACTCATTTGAAAATCAGAATAGCCTCCATCAGTGTCATCATGAGGATCTTCATTAAAATCCAAATGATGAATCCTTTTATAATCTTGAACCATGTAAGATGGAGGTTTGGAAATACGTCCTGACCTAGTTCGTGGACGGTGTTTTTTCTTTAGCTCCTTTTCTTCTCTGCTAATCTCTTGACTTTGTGTTTCATCATCAGGTTCATCTTGAGTTTTTTTAATATTCCATATTTTTCTTGGCCTACCTCTTCCTCTCTTTATTCCTACTCTTCCTCCCCTGATAGAAACATCTTTACTGTTGCTATTGCTTTTTTCTTGGAACTCAGATGGGTAAATAACACGATATATAATACGAGTGTTTGTGGCAGGATTATAAAGAACTGAACTTCCACCACTTTCTGAAGCTTTTGAGATTTGTTGTTGCTGCAAAACATGTGCAATCTGTTGTAACTGTTCCTGTGTTAGTACTTGAGTTGAATGATAAGTGTTCCCCTGCTGAATTATTTGGATTGGATTTTCACTGGAACCTAAAGGTGCACTTTTCGACTTAAGTTTTAAAGATGTTAGAGATCTTTGATTTAGACCCTGCACTAGTTTTACACTATTAGTTGAAGACTGACTACTTAATATATTTGAGTCAGTTTTTGAAGTAAATGTTAATTTATGAACATTTGGTTTTGTTGTCACTGAAGGATTGAATGCTGAGGTGGTTGTATTAACTGATGATCCTAAAACATTCTCCACATTATCTGAAGTATTAACTACAATAACATCATTAGAAAAACTATTACTACTATTTGTTAAAACTGGTAGTGGAACTGTCAATGTACCACCCTGATTCACTATTAAATTTGATGTTCCATTTAATACACTAGCTATTGTTAAGTTTTGACTGTTAGCACTAACAGTATTTGAAATGGTATTAAAGTTTTGCAAGGGCAAGGTTACTTGGCCAGTTAACTGCTGAATGGCTGAAGCCTCTGGCAAAGACACTCTATGCACATTTTTTGAAAGAGGAAAACTTTCAATCTGCTTTAAAGCAACTTCTGGCAATGATGCTTGTGTCACTGATAAACCTACCGGTTGTGTCAACCCCTGAGGAATCCCAGATAATGATTGTGTATTCTCTGGCAAACTCTGAGTAAAAATAGTAAAAACTTCTGAGGATGACACTGGTAGTGGTATGCTGGATGTTCCTGATATTGTATTTGTGTGCCTACTGCTAACACTACATGTGGAAAATATAGAACTGACAGGCACAGTTGTAAATGAGACATCAGACAAAGATTCTGTGGATGAACTTTCGGAAAATCCTTGTGTGATTACAGGCAGTTGGTTGATAAAGGAAGGATTTTCAGATAAATTAGGTGCTACCAAAGATAAGTTGTCTGTAAAACTATCAGATACCTCCGGAATAGCAACAATAAAGCTCTGTAGTCCATAAGACTGAGCATCATTGCTTGTATTTAGGATATCACCATTGCTAGTAATAAATCTCACTCCAGAGCTACCATCAACAGCTACTATTTGATTAACTAGATCTGGACATACAGTGTTTACACTTTTATTTCCAATTGACAGTACTGACGCTGGTATGTTTAAATGAGTTTCTTTTTTGTCACTACTAATATTAGAAATAGTACTATTACTATTAGTACTAAAATTTGGTCTGCTGATCAGACCTACTTGTAAATGTACATTAGTTTGTGGATTAGCATTTACGTTAGAATTTATTGAAGACTCTGTCACACTCGGAATCACAGAGAGTTCGTCATTTCTTGAAAAGTGTCTATGGTTAGTTGCAAGAACATTTTGTTCATTTCCATACGTCACGGCAATTTGTTCAAATTCTCCAGATGCCTCTTGAAAGGCCTGTTGCAGAATATCTGCTTCAGTAATCTCAGCTTGAACCTGGTTACTCTCATGGTTAATTCCTAATGTATCGCTAGAGCTAACAGTAACCCCGTTTAAACTCCCAACAGACGCAGATGTAACGCTTATACTATTACTAGTACTACTGCTACTACCGCTGGTTATTACAAGCTCGTATGATTCGTTAAGTGCATTACCATCTGCCATGTTGGATAGCAAATACAGGTCATTGGTAAACCCAATTTTTTTTAAGTTATGAATTTTTTTTCAATCTTCTTGAATGGTTATTTTTTTACGTTAACTTACAATGAAAAATTACCTTTAACACACAATGAACATTATTCTGAATATTTAAATGATGGTTCTTTACACGTCATCATCTAATAAATGCAGCGAGAAAACGACAAAACGGTCATATATGTATAAAGTTCAACAAATGACCAACAGACGTCGTGAAATTGGTATGTTACTGACGAGCACAAATTAGAAAAGTTATAACTTGGTAAATGATATATATATACATATATATATATATATATATATATTTAAGTCTATGCTAAATCGTTTTATACCAGCTGAAAATTAGATATATGTTATTGTATATATATATATATATATAAGGTGCACAAAGTGCAACTAAAGTTACACCAACTATTTTAGTTACGGTAACCCTTTATTTTTAGTTTTATCTGAGTAGTACGTAC